GGAATGCTAGGTGAGCCCGACAGTGCCTGGTTTTCTTTGGAAGCTGTTAACTTGAAGGGAAGAAAAATGCCCTCTCCACCCAGCACAGGGGGCCAAGGGCACCTGGAACCCTGCACACAGGAGGCCTGACCTGAGTTAGCCCACACGAACCAACCAGACAGGGACACAGAAACAAAGACCCTGAGTTCCCCAGGCTAGGGTAGGACACGACAGCGATGTGCGAGTGTGAGCCGAGCACGAGGCACAAGGGTGCAGGACATGCCACACCACACTTTTATGGTATGGTCATTTTTTTTTTTTAAGAGGTTTTTGCTATAGGGTGCGTGCGCCCGCCAGACAGACAGACAGAGAGAGACAGAGACAGTAAGCGAGAAATCACCCCCCGGGGGGAGGCCACGCCGCAATCCTTTCTCCATTCTCCTCTCGGGATCTTGGGAATGCACGCACACACAAGCACCCGGCATGAGTTTAAGCCACCGGATCCGGGACACAAACTGTCGTGATTGACTACATGGGAGTCCAGCGACATAGCCATTACACTAACTGCTGGTCCCCCAAAATAAATTTTATACACACACACACAGCCCGGCCAGTGATCCGATTTAGTCCTTGCGACACCACATATAGACTTCCCAGATCACAGTGACTGAGTTTTCCATTCACCCCAGGGGTTGACATCAATGCCTTGTGGGCCTGTACGCTCTCTCCCTTGCTAGGCCCCGGCATGTGGAAGCACGCCTGAGCCATTTGTTCCCACGGTCCCCTCTAGGGGATAGTGGACGGTGGTTCAAACATAGCACGCCACCCATGAAGTGGTTTGCAATCACAGAGCCCATTCAGACTTCTGCTCTGTCCCGCAAACGTTCTAGGAATGACCTGGAAAACGTGGTGAAGACCGACCCATCTCGGAGTACAAAGCACCACGCAGGCCCACACTGAGCTCCATTCCCTGCCCCACTACACCTCTCACTGTCTACCACAGTGCTCTCCCAGTCCCTCCTCACATACCAATATGCATATGGAGACACACACACACACGGTCATTCCTTCTCCACTCTCCTCTCAGGATCCTGGGCACACATACACATGTGCCTGGTGTCTTTTAAGCTGCCAGGTACAGGACTACCTGGAAGTCCAGCAATGTAGTCATTATGTCATTTGCTGGTCCCTAAAAAATATACTTTGGGATCAGCAGGTGGCGTGGTGGTTAAAGGTACTGGATTCCCACATGGTGACTGTGGTTCAAGTCCCGGACCTGGTGGCTTGCTTTCTCACTTTTCCTTGACCTGGCGGCTTGCTTTCTCACTTTTCCTTGACCTGGTGGCTTGCTTTCTTACTTTTCCTTTTTTTCCTCTCTGGTCAAATAAAAATAATATTATATATACATATGTACCTATATATGTGAGTGTGAGATTTTTTTGAGAGATCTTTGAGATGTAGCTGCAATAAAGATAGTGGGAAATCACACCACAGGGGAGATGGCCATGCCACAATCCCTTCCCCTCCATTGTCCTTTTGGTATTTTGGGCATGCACATACACGCACGGTGTGAGTTCATGCATGGTGTGAGTTTTAAGCTGCCAGGTCTGGAACCTGAACCACAGCAACTATGGGGGAGTCCCATGACATAACCATTGTGCCATCTGCGGGTCCCCCTACTTTTCCGACAAACTGACAGTACTACCCTTACCTGTGATTGATAAACAGAACAAGATTGCCTGGACTAGCCACCATCACTCTAGTTAAGGTATAAAGGTCCTTCCTAGGGCCAGGAAATGGGATTTTCTGGGGACCCACCAGGCAGGTGGCAGGCAGCCAAGAGACAAACAAGACAGAATAGGACCTGTGGTAGTCATACCACACTAACATGAATTAGGTGTTGCAGCCAACTATGTACAAAAGTTGAGGACAGGGTGAGGCCCACACAACTTCCATGACTGGGCCCTCGCCAGACACTCCTGGGACAAAACTCCAAAACGTCTCTGGGCAGCTGTCATTCTTCTAGTAGGAGGTAGAGGATGGGTAGGGCAAGGCAGGGCAGGAGATGCAAGGGACCTCCCTGCCCCTCAGGATGGTCCTTCCATGCTCTCTGAGGGCACTGGGGCTCCAAAGATCTTGGCCAAAAGACCTCGGTTGGAGCGGGCCTGGTCCTGGGCAGCAGCCAGGCGGGCCCTCTGGCGTCCCCCTGGCCGTGCAGCTTTCCGGGCCCTCAGCTCCTGTTCAGTAGGACGCTGGGCAAATGTCCAAGAGCCATTCGGGCGGGCAGGGTCCCCGTCGGTGGCAAGGAAGCGCTGTCCCCGTTCCACACTGCGAAGATAGAAGTCAGTCTCTCGCTTGGCCTGGGCAACCTCTGCTCGTAGGCGCTGCCTGCGCACCTGGCGCTCGAAGGCGAGGTGTTCGCTGAGGTGGGCCCAGGTGAAACGGTGCAAGTACTGTGGCCGGAGGACAAGCAGAGGAAACATCAGGGCAGGGCAGGGAGGAAGGGGAGATGGGAGGGGTCAGGGAGGAAGCAGGGCTAGGTTTGGCAAGGATGGAGAACAGCGGACCCAGGTCTCACCTTGAGGTTCCATAAGTCATAACGGAAGGGGCTGCGCTTGCGGGCACCCATGGGCGTGTTGTGCAGACTGGCCGCCACCCGCTTGGCCACACGCTTGTCCCGGAACTCCACCCAGCCCTCGGTGTAGTCCTTGCTGTACTTGGGTCGCTTTTTCCCTCCCGCTGCAGCTGCCGCCTTCTTCTTGCGCCTCACGAACTGGTCTGCAGGCCACAGGCAGAGGCATGTCAAGGGGTCTCACGCTGCAGCCCACTACCCAGCTCACCTCCAAACCTGAGGCCTGGGTTCCTCCTCACTTGCCCTTTTCTAATTCTGTCCTCTCTTCAAAGGTCAGCTCCTTAATCAGGCAGCCTGGACACTACTTAAAACCGGACAGGGCCAGTGCTAGGAGTCCTGTCCCAACCCCAGCCATGCGCGTGCCTGTAAGGAGGCTGGGGCTGGCCACACACAGTGTCTGCACCAGGGTGGGACCAGAGGTGTGCTCGCTTCTGAAGAAAATGATATACTTTTGTTGGAGTTGAACAAACAGCTCATGAAAAAGGTGGGGGGGGGGCAACAGGTTGAGTGGTAGTTAAGGGACTGGACTCCCACATGGGCGCCCATGGTTTGAGTCCCAGACCAGGTGACTTGCTTCCTCACTTTCTTCCTCCCTCTCTGGTGAATTGGAAAACAACAAAAAATAAAATTACATAATTCTTAAAAAAAAAAAAATACAAAAAAGGACAAGTGGGGGAGGGATGAGAACCCACTGCTAACAATCCCAGAACAAAAGCAGCCGCCGTGCTACCCCTCCAAATTTCGGCCCAAGAGACCTGCGCACAAAGTTAGATTACGTTTAACTTCCAACTACTTAAACCGAAACACGGAAACATGAGCTTTAAGTGTAAGTCACCCCTCACTCGCAATCGCACCTGCGTCCCTGGAACACGCGGGACTTGCCCCAAACCGTTCTGCCAAGTCCCCGGGGGAGCTGCCGGGGCCAAGGCGTCCCAGGGTGTCCCAAGCGCGCCCGCCCGCACTCGGCCCACCCGCCCCGCGCACCTACCTTCGGCCTGGAAAAAGACGCGCCCCACCTCGCCGTAGGCGCTGAGCAGGTTGCGCACGTGCAGGGGCCGGAGGCGCGGCGGAACGTGGCCCAGGTACACTATGCCCGGCACTACCCGCTTCCTGCTGCTGCCAGCCGCTCCCTCCAGCTCCCCCTGCTCCTCCTCTGCCCCGTGCTCTGCGCCTTCCGGCTGCTCAGGCCCGCTGGCCGCCCGCTCCGACTCCTCGGCCTCCATGTTGCCGGACGCGCCGAGCGCCCCCCCCGGCCGTAAAGCACCGGATGACGCACCCCGCGTGCGACGGCCGGAGAGGCGGGCGAAGGCGCAGGCGCAGGCGCAGGCGCGGAGGGGGAAGTGGGAGCTTGGCGCGAGGGGCGTGCCCGCGCTGGGGGGCGGAGCGCCGGGTGGGCATCCCCAGTCCAGCGCGGCCGGGCTGGGCAGCTCCCCGAGGATCTAGCGGACCGTCTAGGGGAGTTCCTGTGTCTGGCCTACCTTCTAGAGCTTCGGAAGCTCTAGGTTTTAATTTAAGTACGTGCGAGTTAAAGGTAGTACAACTTTGCAAGTTTAACCTTCCAGGTCTAGTTAGGTTAATTTTTGAACATGTGTGTACCTTTCCTGTGGTTCAGCGTTTTAAACGTGACCGTGCACGGCGACTAGATGTACCGTGTGACACCTACGTAAGGAGTTTACGCCGTGCGTGACTCGTGCGGACACGCTGTGCACCGAGCGCTGACAGCGGGACAGCTGCAGGCAGGTGCTCGCCCTCCGCTGAGCGCTCCGCAGCTGTCCCGCTTTGCGCCCAGTTCCCGGTCGGCCGAGGAGGGAAGGCCCACGGCCTGCCGCAGCGATGGAGACTGAGACAGGGTCGGGCGTCACAAGCCACCTGTAGCTCTACGGGCGCCTCGTGTAAGGGTCCAGAGATCGGTCTAACTGATGGAGACACAGAAAAGACCATGACAATGCAACTGCAAAAGAGGCTTTTATTTTTCCAGCTAGCTGGGGTCCAAGTTTCAGCCCATCGCAGCAGGCCTTCACAAGGACCCCGAGCCTAAGATAAAGGGATCTTTTATAGCTCCGAATCACAATGCAGAAAGTACAGTCAGTAATTTTCCACTTGAGGGAGGGGGGTGTGTGAAAGCTAGCTGTCATTATGTTTAGGTTTAGATTAGGACTTTCAGTTGAGGTCAGATTCACCTGGCTCTGGCATTGTCAGGGCCCATCTTACTTTGTTTACTTATGTGGTCTCAGACTCCCTGGGTTCTGTCCTTGAGGGTCTAACATGGCGGTGGTTGTGTCAATTCCCGCCTAACACTCGAGCCTCCTGGGGGCGGTGGACTCAGTCCCGGGAGGCGGCATCCAGCTCTGGTTCCAGTCATTTCACTCCGTGTGTTCGAGGTCCCGACTACAATGTTCGTCCACAAAGGTCCTGCGGGCCGCCGAGCCTCCAGGTGCTGTGTCCTAGTGAAGACCTTGCACAGATGTCCCTCCCTGTCCCCGGACCCCCTTCTCAGGGCACTGCGAAGTGTCTTCCTTGGACCCCATCGATGATCTGGGAGCAACCTTTGTTGCCAGTTGACTAGGTGCACCTGCAGATCGGTGATGGCTTTTTTTGGGGGGTGGGGGGTGGGGAGGAGGCCTACAAGTTTGTTATAAGCTCAGCTGACAATTTAGTACTGGATAGAGTCTATTCTTTCTAAAAAGAAGGTTCCTTTGAGCCGGATTCGAACCAGCGACCTAAGGATGGCTGATTCTCACCTTCCTACAGTCCTCCGCTCTACCAACTGAGCTATCAAAGGATCCTGGACTAGTTTGTCTTAGTACAGTTTAAATAATATTTACTTACTGGTTTTGTTTTGACTGCATAGTATTCTTGTTTGTTTCAAAAATTTGACTAAACATAAGTTTTCTAGCGTACTAGAAATTTTCTAAAACTGATCCTGAGTAGTGATTATACAAGTGTATGAAAAATCATTCCCTTAAACATTTAAGACTTGTACTTTTTTTGAGAGAGAGATTTTTGCTACAGGGTACATGTGCTTTCTGCAGAGACAGAAAAGGACAGAGAGTGAGAAATCACCTCCCCCCCCCGCCCCCGAGATGGGCATACCACGATCCCTTCTCCAATTTCCTCCCTGGATCTTGGGCACTCACGGACGGGCACCTGGCATCAGTTTAAGCCACTGGGTCCAGGACCCAAATTGCAGTTGACTACTTAGAAGTCCAGCAATGTTACCATTATGCCGTCTGCTGGTCCCAAGACTTGCAGTTTTTATCAAATAAAAAATCCAGCACCAATCTGTGTCCTGCCTCCCCAGTGGCAACTAGGCCCATTCCTTAAGCTTGTGCCTCTGTCCTGTCCACTTGGCATCTTCTCTCTAGAGATGAGTGACAATGGCAAGGTTATCCTAACCATGAATGCTTCTTGGGAACATTAGGACTGCCCTTTCAGGACAGAGAACACATCAGAGGCATGTGTGTGCTTGTGTGTACGTTTAGTGACTCAGTGGCTCTTACTACGTTGCTAAATGAAGCACACCTCCTCCCTTCGCTTAAAAAGGACATGTGTGGGCCGGCAGGTGGTGCTGCAGTTAAGACATTGGATCTCACCTGGCTAACAGCGAGGTTTGGGTCCCAGACCCGGTACGTTGAAAATCACGCAGGGTATGCATTCGCGGGTGCCCCAAATCCTGAGAGAATGGAGGAGAAAAGATTGTGGCATGGCCATCCCTCCTGGGGGGGGTGACTTCTCACTTTCCCTCTCATCATCTCTGTCGCTCTCTAGCAAGCACATGTACCCGAAGGTAAAAATCTGAAAAGAAAAAAAAATAAGAAAGTCCAGTGTACACTTACCATGGGATCCAGCAACTCCACTCCTGCATATTTACTAAAACTAAATTAAAAAGTATGTTCACACAAAGATTTATATTCAAATGGTTATGGCAACTTTATTTTAACAGCCACATAGCCAAAGACTGAAAACAAAATAACTGACGGTCCTCACTGCAGAGGACCTGCGAGGCTCCTGAGTGGGACAGCTCGCCAGCCAGGTCGTGAGCGTTACTGTGACGCAGTGATGAATTTGTTCCTCTGCACAAGCCACTGTCATTCGGGGTCGCTAACGTGTGAGATGGATACGTCCAGGAGATTGGAAGTCTGAACTCACGCAGAAGACCCACTTCTTTTCTGGGTGAGTATCCACTGAGGTGGTGTAAGCCGAGAGTCGCCCCAGTAGGAGTCTCTACCCGATATGCTCGTGCTCCATTGCCGGGGGTCTACCGCCGCCAGCGGCACTTGCTGTCAAGATCAAGCTAAGCTCAGAACAGTGTCTGAACTTGTCCTGGCTCTTTGTGGCAGTTTCTGTGCGTCTTGCACGTGCCGGGCCTCAAGGAGGCCAACTCTCACTGTTGGAACCAACACGGATCTACGATTGGGGCTGGGAAACACCGTGGCGGTTTTTCAAGCCTGGTCACTGCAGTAGCTGGGACTCTGAGAACGAAGATTTCACTTACAGTTTTAGACACCGGAGGCGTTTCTCCCGCCGAGTGGGCCGCCCGCGTCCAGCCACGCGACTGCCCTTTCTCCTCTTCCCCTCGCACCTACGCCCTGGAATTCCATTGCTGCTCTTTTCTTCGCTGCTTACGCCAGGCATCTGCTTCTGTGGGTACAGCCTGTAACCCGTCTCCAAACCAAGCCCTCTTAATTTCTCGCGGCTCCTGAAAACTACCCTGCGAGCTGATGGGTTGGCGGTTTCACGCCCCTTCCTGCCGCCCCGGGTCGCGCTCTCCCACGCGTGCGCGCCCTGTAAGCCCGAAGTCCCGGCTCCCACGCCGACGCAGCTGCAGGAGCCCAGCAGTCGCCGGGGCTCCGCACTCGCGGCTCCCGAGCCCGCGGCACCCTCCGCTCCGCGCTCCTTCCACCCAGCGCAGTTCCTACTGAGGAACGCGCAGGCTCTTCAAGGCTTCCGACCTTTAACTGCTTTTCTCAGGAACAACCTCGAGAATCAGAGATCAAGGATCGGCCCCATACCGAGGTGTGGCGGGAACCGGGGTCCCGCCTCTGGGGTGCGGCCTCCTGCCTGCACCCGGCTCGCGGGCACTCCAGGAGGGGCTTTCTCCGCGGTCGACCCCACAGCGCCCCCTCGCTCGGCAGCCTGCCCTCGAACCCGAGCTCGGAACGGCCCCCAGCACTCGCGTTAGCCGGTACTGTTCGCCTCGGGAGCCGGCAGGTGGCAGTTTACAAGTGGCAAGAAGTGATACCTTTCTAGAAATCATTTTTTTCACCAACTGTCCTCTCCCGAAGTACCGATGTTTCTAGTTTGTTGCAGACGGAATTTGAGAATGTACATAACAACAAAGGTTCTGGCGTCTAGTTTCATTTAGGCGGTTTTCTTGTCTAGAACGTGGTAATTTTTGCAAATATATAAAGTATGTTAGAAACTTTGGACTTACAGAAACCTCAAGTTCAAAAGTCTCATCCTTCGAGCCGGATTCGAACCAGCGACCTAAGGATCACCAATGTAAGGTCCCTCTACAGTCCTCCGCTCTACCAACTGAGCTATCGAAGGATACATGATAACTCGCCTTTTAGAATCTCTGAAACAATGAACACTATTTCCTGATAGTTTCAAATATACTCACACTCTTTAAAAAGTACCATCAACTTTAAAGTAGTCAGACGCGGTGTTCTCTAACGATCTGAGTATTGGCCTCATGGGTTTATATACACGTAAATTCCTTGCGCTGTATTTTTAAGACATTAGGATATTTACCTATATCTCAAAATATAAATACTCCATGGACCCTAGGGCTTCTTCCCCTGTCTGTAGCAGCTTGGGCACCTCCCAGCTGTGGTCGGCGGTGACGCGCTGTTCCGTCTGAGGGCTCCTCCTTCTCTCTCGAAATTTTCTAGGGCTGCTTGACAAGTACGGTCCTAAATACAGACAACTGGATTGCAGAGGATTCCAGAGACTCCTGAATTACCTCCAAATACCGAAGAGGGGAAACCAGGAGGACCTCTACGCCTAGGAGGGGAATTAGCTCAAATGGTAGAGCGCTCGCTTAGCATGCGAGAGGTAGCGGGATCGATGCCCGCATTCTCCAGTTTTATGTCCCTCCCGCGCTCTGTCCTTAATTACTGTGGTCCGGTCCACATCTTTCTGAGATCTGAGCGACCGTGTTCTTGCCATGACAGAGACGATCTGGCCTCGGGAATGTCGCAAGCGCTCCCTTTCCCCCTTCCCCCCTCGCCCGG